TATATCTAAGTATAAGTAGATGATATCTGTACGTTGAATATATATATATATTTATATAAATACATGTATATATAAATTAATACATACATTTATATATATATATATATTATCATGTCATATTAAATATATATATATATGTATATATATACACGTATCATTATAGTATTCCGACCGCAGCCCACAAGCGGTGCTTGCAGTACATGCGTATGATACATGTAATTATATTCACTCCACCACCCCCTTCCTCCCTCACACAACAGGCTTGGCAGCGAAGCCAATGTCGCGAAGATCGACTGCTCTTCGTCCGGAAGCACGCTCTGCAGAAGGTTCAACGTAAAGTCCTACCCCACCATTTCCTTTGTCAAAGATCAGTACGTATACGACCACGTGGGTCAACGCACCAGCGATGACTTCATCAAGTTTGTCAGGACTTCTCACAAGGACCGAGATGCGTATGAATTCCCGGCCCCCTATTCACTGGTAGAGGACATTCAGAAGGAGCTGCTGTTACTGATAAATCGCCTCCCGGAGGAGACTGAGGTGTGTGATATAGACTGCTCTATAGTTAGTATATTTGGTGTGTATTATTGAGTAGTTATATAGACAGTGTATGTGGGGTATGCTACGGGGTAGTTGTATAGACAGTATATGTGGAGTGTGGTATTGGATAAATGTGTAAGCATATATACTTTATATGTACGAAAGTATATATGTATATATATATGTGTGTGTATGTATATATATATATATATCCAACATTTGAGGTATGTGCACTGTAGCAGAGGTATAAAAGCGTGTGTCTCAAGAGAATCAAGGTGTGTGCTATATAATGTATGATATATAAATCATATACTTATACAACAACATTTGAAGTATATGTGCAGTATTAAGGGTGGGTTTGTGATACAGTCTTCTGTAACAGAGGATCTGCCGACTCACACGTGTATTGTTTGTAGATCCGCTGTGAATGTGTCTTTAGGGAAGCACCTCACTCACCCGGTGTGTTTGAAGTGTGGTTTTTACAGATGTGTGTTCGATATGACTATATAAATGTGTGAAATGAGAGGTATTATCGAGTGGGTGTGCCTTTGAAAATAGTACATATTTGTGTGTGAATATATATATATATATATAATATGTATGTATATATATATATGTGTGTTTGTTTGTTTGTTTGTCGTGGTTTATACTCGTAGATAGGTCTACGCAAGCAGTTATCTACAGCGAGTATCGTACGTAGTTCAATCAAGGACAAGTAGAATGTTGTTCACTGTTGGTTATCTCTACCGCACGGGATAGTTTTTTTTCCATAGATAGTAGTATGGACTCGTATATGTATGTGATCTGCGCCAAGATAGCTGGTTGCTATGGAAACCACGTGCTATATGTGGGTCTGAGCGGATGTTATTAATACATAACTGGAAATGGGAGTGTGTATGTGAATACAAGGTGGCGGCATGCAAATAGCTGCTAGTTGTGTGTACGTAAACATACTGTCATGATGCTGCCTGTAAAGGGCTTGAGGCTCTACCTGTGGTCCACTATACTTTCGATCGCGGCTATATAGATGCCTTTGTATGTGTGTATGTGTATGTACCCGTGTATGCGTATGTGTATGTGTGCCCACCTATCCCAGGTGAAAGTCAATTCTCTTAAATCTACCTTCGAACTATACCTCACGCAGTCCAGTCCATTACATCTGCAACTCAATAACCCGGAGACACATAACCCTAACTATTTTGCATCGTCCACATGTCTTCTACTTACACACACACCACCACTTCTAACCTCTCTCTGATGCAGAAAATGTTGACTCATGCACCCTTTGTTGGCACGGTCCTGTTCTTCGTTGGTACTATGTCCGGCTTTGTGATTGCCATCTTGATCTCACTCTGCTGCTTCGGGGACAGCGGTAGCAAAGAGGGCCGCCTCACCGCCGAACAAGCGCGTCTGCTCGTGCAAGAACAGGACCGAACTGTCCTCGAATCGTCCGCAAAAGGTGGTAAAAAGGGCAAAGCGACTAAGAAATCAGACAAGAGTGGGGCGGACAGTAAGGCTAAGGCTAAGGATAGCATCAGTGAAGGAGATGACTTTGAGTTGGTAGAGGAAGAGTCGGATGTGGATGAGGGACTCGGAGATGAAGAAGAGACCCATAACGAGAGTAGTGATGAGGATCCCGAGGATAAGGAGGTTATTGAAGAGAAGAAAGATACTAAGAAGGGAATGAAAGCCGCCGCTGGTGGTGCTAAGAAAGGCAAGAAGAAGAATGCCTGAGAGGTGTAGATAAAAGATGAGGAGTGTGTGGATGTATATGTACGGTATTTATACATATATATATATGTATTCGTATATATTTGAGTATATATGTATATATACACTTCCACAAACACACACACACACACACAC